GCCGTTGCGGTGGTGGCGCGCGCCAGAGCTGGGGGCGCGCGGCTTGGGGCGCCGGTAGAGGTGCGTGTTGCCGCTGCTGTTGCTGCTGCTGCTGTTCATGGCGCCGGCAGGGACAGCACTGCTGCTGTCTGACGGCATGGGTGCCGTCGCGAAAGGGGGCTGGTAGGGCCTGGCGGCGGCGGCGGTGGTGGTGGTTGTGGTGTAGTGGTACGCCAGGTCGCCGCCGTCCGGGGCGGGCGGGTACTGCGACTGCGACTGCTGCTGCGACTGCTGCTGCTGCTGCTGCTGCACCGAGGCGTGCGGCGGGCCGCGCGGCTGCGGCATCTGGATCATCAGGCCGTTGGTGGTGGTGCTGCTGCTACCGCTACCGCTGCCGCCGGAAAGGTCCAGCTGCGAGAGCGACACGGTCGGCCCGCCGCCGTGCCCGCCGCGCCGCCGGGCAGCGACGGTGCCGTGCGGCAGTGCTGCCGCGTGCTGCTGCTGCCGCTGCTGCTGCTGCTGCTGCTGGCGGACCTCGAACTGCGCGCCCGTCCACAGCGCCGCGTCTACTGGACCCGCGGCGAGCCAGCCCGAGTTCGTCGCGAGGAGGGCGTCCCGGGCCGCCTTGTCGGCCACCTCCATGACGGCCTCGTGGCCCAGCAGCGGGGTGGTGACGGGCGTTTCGGGGAGGACCACCATGTCGTGGCTGTGGTGGTGGTGGTGGTGCTCCTGGTGGCCGCGGTCGTCGTGGTCGTGGCCGCTCTCCAGTTTGATGTGCTGCTGCTGCGGGCCGCCCGCGTCGCTAAAGGGGTCGTCGAGACTGCTCCTGTCGACAACAAAGACCTGGCCTTGACTGTATTGGTGGTGTTGGTGGTCGCTCGACGGCGGCGACAGAGGAAAGGCGCCGCCGTGCTCGTGCTCGTGCTCGTGCTCGTGCTCGCAACCCTGCCCCTGCTGCTGCTGCAGATCCGTCTGCGCGCGCTTCAGCGGGGAGCGGCTCCCGCCCGGCCTCGCCGCCAGCGTCGCGGCCGCCTTTTCGTACATCTTGGTCAGCAGGCCGGGCTTGGTGGGCGAGGCGCGCCTCGAGGGCGGCGCCGAGGCCGGGAACGACTGCTGCTGCTGCGGCTGCTGCGGTTGCTGTGCGGCTGCGGCGACGGGGCGGCGCGGCGAGCAGACGGACAGGTCCTCGAGCCGCAAGATCTCCGAGTCGGAAACGGACCCGGGCCCCGCCGCCGCCGCCGCCGTATTTTCGAACATGCGGCTAGGCGACGACAGAAAGCGCCGTTGGCGGCGCAGCAGCTCCAGGTTGGCCTCCATCTGCCGCTGGTGGTGGTGGTGGCGTAAGTGGAGCTGCTGCTGCTGCTGCTGGGACTGCAGCTCGTCGTCGGCTTCGGCCGGCACGCAGACGACGGCGTGGTCGTCCGACCTGTACGAGGTCGGGGGCGAGGCCTCTTCGTCGCCGTCGTCGGCCCTGCTGCTGCTGCCGCCCCCGTCGATGGAGAGGCGGAACATGTTGCGGTGGTGGTGGTGGTGGTGGTGGTGGTGGTGATGATCGACGTCGTCGGTCGACATGGAGTCGGTGGTGGCGCTGCCGTCCATGCTGATAAAGGCGTCGAGGTCGAAAAAGCCGTACCCTTCGTTGCTGCCGCCCATCGTGTCCTCCCACAGACCGGCTCCTGGCGGATCTGAGTTGGCCATTGTTCTCTGCAACGAGAAAGGCGCGGAGGGGGGGAGGAGAGTGTGGGATTTTTATGTGGGTTTTGTGTGTAGAGCCGGCTGCCTTTGCCGCCTTTCTTTCCTTTCTTGCCTTCCCTGCCCTGCGCTGCCCTGCTGTTTGCTTGTCTCTGCCTATTCCTTGTTTTTGCTTTCTTCTTGTTGTTTGCTGTTGTAGCTGCTGTCGGTTTGTTGGACTGTTCCTTGTTGCTCTTGTTGCTCTTGTCACGCGTAGAAAAGACTGACGGGAGATAATGAAGAAAGCAACACCATCTAGTTGGCTCCGCTGAGAGCTGGAAAGGGAGGCAAAGACTTGGGAGTGTGTGTGTGTGTGTGTGTGTGTGTGGCAAGAAACAAACGCCATGCGCCAACGGGACAGACTGCCCGTTGTACTGATATCCGCAAAATGTCTCCACAAGCCCGCCCACGTCCACAAAACAGAGGCTGCGGCTATGGCAACAGGAGATGGGATGGCGTTTTTCCTGCATGCTTGGGACTGCGGCCCCTTATGAAGCCTTGGGCGGGCATTTTGGGAATGAGACCTGCACTCTACCCGTTCTGGTAGGGCTGCAGGAGCCAAACCCAACACGCACTTACACCACACACGCACACACAAGCTCCCCTTTCTCATCCCTAGATCACCGGGGTGGGCGAGGCAACGAGCATGCGACTTTTGGCCCCCCCTCTTCGTCGAGGTCGATCCAAGGGCTTCGACCGACCAATCCATGACACCTCTCGCTTCTCCGCAAAACCCAGCCTTCACCTTCCTGTGACCAAGATTACCCGCCGAGAGACAGAGAGAGGCGAGGCGGCAAAAAAACAGACACGCAGACAAAGGAAAGGCAAGCAAATGTGGGGGCGGCGGCGGCGGCGTCAGCATCGCGGAGGGAGAGGGGCAGGCGGTGGCACGTGCCTGTTGGTGTTTGTCTGACTCCCAAGAGAGAGGGGAAGCTCGCCAAAACAAAGAAGGGTTTCCTGCGGAATTTTTCATGGGCGAATTGGGCCAGACCAGGGCATGGGTGGCGCGCGCTAGTGCTGATGGGGAGGTAGAATGAAATGGGCCTCGATCTGTCGTCAAACCCAAGCAGCTGGCGGCGCGCACAACTACTGGCATGTAGCCTCATCTCGGGCCAAGCCACCAGTGCAGGCCTTGGGTTTGTTCATTCCACCGTGGCTCTGCTTCCTCGCATGGCGGACAAGGGTGGGTGTCTTCTTGAGTCCCGAAAGAAAGAAAAATGTCGAGCCAAAATGGCTCGAGTTGGAAGGTCCAGGTCGATTCTTCATGGCAAAGGGAGAGAGGGCGGCCGGGTAGCTGAACAACCGTCCGTCCCTCCCTCCAGCACCGTCCGTCAGCTGCTGGAGGATCACGGGAACAATCTCGAATGCCAGATGGACACCATCTTTTTCTTTTCATTTTCCCCGTAGCCGTCGCCGCCCTGCGAGGTCCCGTGCGGTGCTGCTCGCTTCTGCCATCCTCCTTTGGGCTGTTTTCGTCAACCAAAAGCGACATATAAGCCCCGGCTAGTCGATCCCTACTCGTCGGTCTCCCCGCCCTCCGTGCCAGCTTCGAGACAGCGGCCATGGACAGTATCATGGACAAAGCGAGCGTCCATTGCTGTCCTACCGACGCCGGAAAAGGACGGCTAGTCGGCCTGGCCCAGAATGATGATTCCGATACTCTTGTCGTAGTGTGTCACCTCATGCGCTAAGCATCAAGGCTCACGCGTCGGCACGTGTGATGAGAGGGACGAAAAGGCAGATGAAAACACTCCCTTTATGTGCCCGGTATGTACTGTGTGCCTATCCTACCGCTAATGCAGACATTTAAGAAAACTCCAGATCCCGTCGACATGTAACGCTCCCTTGGACGCAATGCATATGCTCTCTCCCACATCCGCATCCGTGGTTGTGCGGGGTGGAAGACCAACGTAATAGGTATCCGAAAAGCAAAAGGGTATATACCATCTCCCAGATGTTAAAATCGATGAAGGGAGAGTGAGAGAAGGAAAAAAGACCACTGCAAGGACTGGAACTTGCGCGCGTGAGCTTGTTCACACGTATGGTGGCGCCAAAAAACACGCCTGATAGAAAGAAATGCTAGCGCCGGACCCGCCTTCAGGGTGTCGTGGTAGGCGCGTGGGGGTGAGAAGCAGCGTTTGAGGCCGAGGGCACCGAGGGGACGGCGGCTATGGTGTCGGCAGTGCCGCCGAGATACTGGGAGGACCTCCACGTCCGCTGGCCTTGGCGGGATCCTCGGCCTCTTTCCTCCGTTTGCGCATGCGTGGCTTGCTCATGACCACATTTGGGCACCGCAGCGCCACCTCCTGCGACGTGTAGTGCATACGCGCCAGGCCGTTCTTGCGTATGCCCGCAGGTGCCTTGGCGGCGCGCAGCAGCGCCGCCGTCTCGCGCCCCTTCTGCCAGCTCTGCCACGCGTCCTCGTCGTCGTCCTCAGCCGAGTCCACCTCGATCACGTCGGCGCATCCTTCGGCCGGGCGCAGCGGGGGCGGACGAGATGGTCGCGGCATTGCTTTTGATGCTTCGACTGTTTTTGGGGTCGATGCGGAGGGGGTAGCAGCGCTCGGAGCGACCGCCGTGCTGGCAGATGGTGGCCCTGTCGTGGCTATCGGGCGTGGCGCAGATGCCCCTCTAGAGATGGACGGTCTGCGCACATTACACTGATCCGATTTGACCATCATGCCCTCAAGGAGAGATAACATCTTGGTTCTGTCAGCGGGTCCGTTGCGGCGTATTTGCCTCAAGTGCTGCTCCCTGGTCAGTCCTCGGAGGTCGGATATCGATTCGGGTGTCTCAGGGGCGGCAGCCTGGACGGGAGTCTCCCCCACGGCATGGATTGGCGCATTCGGGAGCTGGTCCTTCTCCTCCTGTGTGTCCAAGTCGGACATGCTGATGTCCGACGGCGACTGGGGTACCGCAGCCTGTACCAAAACGGAGTCGGGGTGGTCGTCTTGGGTATCGGGCCAAAGGTTTTGCCTGTTTAATCTGTTGATCAGGCTGCTCACGCCAGCGATCCGGGAGGCAGCCAGACGCGAGCCAAGCCTCGGCTCATCCACGGAAGCGGGGGAGGATGAGCACGATGGATTCTCCACGTCCGTCACCGAGTCATCATTGGCAAACGAGCCGCTGCTGGCCGTGCGACGGTGGAGCGAATCTGGAGACATGATGCTACAACCGAACTCTCGCTCTCCAGCGCTGCTTGCGCTCTCGCTCGCGTCGGCGGAACACCAGTGGTGGTTGAAACGGGCAAGGTTGCTCGTCTGCGACGTATTCCATGGCCGAGGCGGGCCACAACGATGCTTGGTCAGGCCGATTGTTTGCTGACCAGCTTTTAGTTGAGCTATCGTGCCGAACAAGGTGACGGGTGCTGAGGGTTGACCAAGTAGCCGGCCACTGGGTCTGAATCTGTTTGTTCCGTCGCCCTCGCGGCAACTCAATGTAGCGCAGGATAACCGGTGCTAGCGACCGCTATCATTCGTCGTACCCCATGGTAGACTCGAGAGTGAGGTTCGACAACGGTTGGGCGAGCCCTTGGGCTGGTATCATTGTCAGGAAAAGAGTGCACGAACACGGCTTCTTCGCGGTGTAGTCGAAGAGAGGGCAGGAGGACGAGGTCCACGAGACCAAGCAGAAGGAGCGGAAAGCGCACACGGAACGTGCACAGGAGATGTGCAGGGTGCACTTGGCGTCTATAACAGATGGGAGCCCAGGTGGCGTATAGGCTGCTGTATGTGCCCACTCTAAACCCTTCCAGGGGGCGGGCAGCAGCAAGCGAGGACTGGCTTGCGCTAGTGGGCTGGCTGGAAAAAGCAGGCAGACGCAGGCTGGCAAAGATTGTGAAGACCCCGGGCTTTCCGGCAGGGAAGCTAGCTCGGGTTGCTTTGTTGCTTTGGGAGCTGGCAGTCCCTACCAGAAGCGGGAGGTAGGTACCACCAACCAAGGTAGAGGCGGTTCGCTGCAGTCAGGCAGGTCCAATCGCCAGCCCCCTGGGACCACTCCACGGGACAGGTGGATGGGCCTTCCCCGTAGCACAGCAGCAGCAGGGTAGGCACGCTGGGCGCACGGTGCAAGCCCAGCCGACAAATGACAAAACCTGCAAGTGCTCGCTCACCCCAGCAAGGCGCTCACAGGTGCCCACCCAATGTCTCGGGCCCACCGTCGCTGCCACACGAGCCGGCTGGGTGGGCAGTTGGGCAGCTGATGGTGCATGGCAAGTACGAGTCACGCACGGTGGCACTGTAGGAGTCGCTTTTTGCTCTTGCTTCCCCCCAGCAACTGGCCCGCGAACAATCCCACACCACACCCTTCTGGCCCCCCTCTTCAGGCTGTTTCGGCCGAGGGCCCCATCTGGGGTGCAACCAGCACGTCAGACGCACAGTGTGGTATGGACCGAAGGACCGAGACAGGTAGCCCCTTGTCCGCCCGATGATGGGCCGATCGGTTTTATTTTCTATTTGCAAGACGGGAACAGCCCCCCGAGGACGTGCGTGCGTGCGTCCCGCACTCATCGGCCGCCCCCGTTCGTCTGAAGCGAGGAAGCACTGTGGCGCAAACAAACAAGCAGACAAGGCCCCGACCACTGGGCACCTGGGTCGTTTTTTATTTTTATTTTATCAGTGTCTGGGGATGGTGTCCGGGACCCTCCCACTGCCTCGGACCCGGGTCCCATCCTGGGGCGTCGGGCCATTGACGACGTGCAGCGCCCAGGTGGTGCCGACACGACGGGTGTTGGATCAGCTAGCGAAATGACCTGAGGGGCTGTTCAAGCTGTTGGACCGTGCGTGAGTCGATCGGGGCAATGCTGGCAGCACCCAACCCAATCCCCGTCCACTCTCTCGGGTTCCGTGATGAGAGGAAGGCACAGGGGAGTATGGTGCTCGAGTCGTGGCCGCCTATCCTGTGAAGCCTCAATGAGGAAATCACGACGACACTGGGAAGCAGCCCAAAGCACCTGAGTGAAGCACCTGAGTGAACAACAAGCCCACCCATCAACTTGACGGATAATCATATACCTACGCACCACATCGTTTGCAGACCCAAGACTGCGATAAGTCCGCCTCAGTCCCCGTTCGCATCAATCTTCGTCTGCCACTCTCCCCATTTCCTCTCGGCCTGGTCTAGACCGTCTGGGCCCTGAACCCTCGGCACGGCATCGCTTGCGTCGGAGAGTTGGCAGCCCCGACAGGCGCCTGAAAACAGCCAACACAGCGCTGGGCCTCCCCTTGGCCTCCCCCATCTGGCCGGTGTAACTTGGTATTTTATTTTCGCCAAGGCCCCGTGCCCAGCTGGTGGCTGGTCATGCATGATTGACACCACGACCGAATTGGCTGGCAGCCTCAGCGCGCCCAGGAGCTTGGGGTTTCTGTCTTTATCTCTGCTTGGCCGCCCGCTCGACTTGCTCCCACTCCCTGCCATGGTCTGGCGGGACAAGTCCGTGGCGGGACAAGCACGGAGACGCCATCAGGCAATCCGCTGAGGCGACGTTGAAAACCGTCCCAAGAAACGATCCAAGCTGGCATCTGAGCTGCTTCTGGGGGCTGATGCTCAATTGGTCCGACCCCAAGAAACAAAACGCAGGATTGGGCACACGCAAAGGCTTCATCCATCCGAGGCGAACTGGCGTGCCCAGCCTTATGTACGCCCAGCGGTTGGCGCCTATTCCAGCGCGACGTGGCCGAGCAGGCCGAGTGTTTCGGGCTGGGCTTGTTGCTGCGCGAATCTGCGCCAGGACGGCAACGTGACATGACCTGGTCGCTCCCGCCCAGGCGCCCGTGTGACAGTGATTTGGGGGATTCGGCGCTGGAACCGGCACGGCGCGTATTTCTGTTTGTGCTGCCAAGGTCCAGCGCCCTTGGTCACCCGCGGGATACCGGTCCCTCGCCCCATCCAAGCGTCTTGGGCCGACCTCGTTTTCGCCCTCCCAAGGCCCTCTGCTGGTCATTTTACAGGGGCCAGCCTTGGGTCAGCCCCCGCCGGCACAGGCCAATTCCCCTGGCCAGCGCTGCCCTGCTAATAGTTCGACTTTGCGACCAGGAGAGCCTGGACAGGCTGGACAGGGATCTGCATCTGCAGAGAAAAGGGATTCGATCAATTTACCTCGTCGCGCTACGTGCTCTGGTCACGGCCTCGAAGCTGCACAACAATGAGTGAGCAAAAAAAAAAAAGACTAAGAGAGAGAAAAGAAAAGAAGACAGACATGGAAAGGAAATGAAGACAGCAGAAAAAAAAAGAAAAAGACACACACCGTCTCTCGTGCAACAACCACAGAGTTTGCACTCCCTCCCCTGCCGACATATGCCAGTGCCTTGCCCAAGCCCGATCCCATCCATGTCTCGCGCTGGCTCGCCCGCCCAGAGCTGCCAAGTATGAGGGCCAAGTGCCAAGTTGTGAGCTTTGTCGTCGCCCGCCGCGCACCATTTGCCTGGGCTGTTTCCTCTCCAGTGATCGTCTTCTCGTCGGACTCAGTTCTACGGCACAGGTGCCTTTTCTTGGTCTTCTTTTTCTTCCTGTTGGCGGTTCCCTTCGCTTGGGGGTTTCCCTCTTCCCAGAGGTTTTCCCCCCAAGACCCAGACGCAGATATCAGCTGGCGCAGTCCGCCTGCCCGTTGACGCCGTTTCCACCTCGCCCTGCCCTTCCTCTTCCTCGTCGATGCATCATCGATTGAATCCCCGCTCGTCGCCAGATCCGATTCCCGCAGCGGCATTAGTCGGCATATTCCGCTGCCACTTCTCTGCAAATCGCCCACCCACAACCCCCCACCGGCCCGACACCCGACGCCCATGACGAACTGAACAGAAACCGACGCCCTCCACTGCCGTGCATCTGTCACCGGCCTTCCTCATACTCTGCGAGCAGGGAGGGTGCTAGGAAAGCCTCTCTGCCGGGGTGTTTACTCATATTTCTGCGTCCTTTGTGGATAGCATCAGTGGTGGCCGCCCCATATAAAGTCTTAGTTCCGCGCAGCCCCATCAACATAGAACGGACACAGGGAAAAAAGGGCAAAACAAAACAGAAAAGAGTTTGCTGTTATTCTTGGCACAACAGAATTATACTCACCCGGCCTGGCCTCTTGTCTCGGGTTTGTAGGCTCGGGGTGGTGAGCCTGCAAGGAAGTAGGAAGAGTAACAGAGCGCACTGAAAGGATGGTGTCTTTATTCGACTTTCAGAGGCGGAACAGGAAACTCCAGGATGAAGAGAAAAACATGGACGACGACGTGGCAGAGCAGGATCTGCCCCCATCCCGCGGCGTCCTGGCCATCAGGCCGGTGCTCCAGGAGGCCTGCTTCGCTCACGCCGTCGCCAACAACGACGCCCGGGCGCTCGAGTGGTGCAGGGAGCCAGGCGAGCGCATCAAGATAAGCGTCGGCCACGGCGACGCCCGCTACCTCTTCCTGGTGCACAAGTGCCTCCTGCGCCATCACTCGGAGTACTTTCGCGGCGTCCTGCGGCCCTCGGGCAGCAGCGCCTTGGGCGGCGGCGGCCAGCCCGAGGACGGCGAGTTCGACTTCCCCGAGGCCAACCCGGACGTCTTTGGCCGCTTCGTGCGGTGGCTGTACTCGTGCCGCGCCTGCAAGAAGCCGCGCACCTACGAGGCCGGTCACCGCTGCCCGGCCTCGGCCGCCCGCGACCCGGCCTCGTGGTGCGGCGTCGACCGCCCGCTCGAGGTCGACTACGTGCTGGGCGAGTGGCTCCTGGCTCCCCGGTACTGCGCCTTTGTGCTGTCCCACCTGGTGCCCCACGTCAGCGTCGACGGCGGCGCGGGCGGCGTCGTGGACCTGGCGCGCGTCCGCTGGATCCTCGACAACACGGTGCCGGACTCGTCGCTGCAGCGCTTCGCGCGCCACTGGGTCTCGTGGCTCAAGCTGCGCTGGCTCGACGGCTCCGGGCCCGTCGACTGGGCCGCGCACCCGGACCTCGACGGCCTCGACGACGGCTGGGCCGCCACGGACCCGCGCAAGTTCCGCCTCGACCACTGGGAGACGCGCTGCGTGCCCACCACGGCCAACGCCCTCTGCCCCCACCGCGTCCTCGAGACGGCCCCCGCCGCCGCCGACGGCTCGCCCGGGTCGCCCGCCGACTCGGTCTGCAAGACGTCGGAGCCGCCGAGCGAGGGGGTGTGGGAGAGGTGCCGCGTCCCGGTGGTGGCGTCGTTTGGCGTGCTGGTGCTGGTCTATCACGTATGGTTTTTTTTCTTTTCTGTTGGCGCCCCCTCGTTCTGGCCAACCCAACTGACATTCAGCGTCCAGATACTCTTCCCCTTTGCATGGGTGGGCATCGCGTCCTACATCGTCGTGGCCGACGACGACCCCCTGCTCATGGAGGCGTCAAAGTTTTACAGCCTCGTCATGGGCTGCGTCGCCGTGCTGGGCATATATCCGATATGCATGAGGATGATGAAGTCCATGTACTTTGCCATGGCCTGCTCCGTCTTTGTCATTGTGGCCAGCGTGCTCTCCTTTGCGTCGTCTGCCACCTGTCTGGCTGTAAGTCACACCTCCCCTCGTCTTTTTTTTTACTTAGCCATGCTGATCAGGCTCTCTTTTACCCACATAGGCCGCCGATCGTGAACTCGAGTTGAATATCTGCAAGATGGAGATAGGAGTTGGAGTGTTGCAACTTTTCTACGCCATCATCGTGGCCACGTCATATAAATGGTAAACGGAGCGGTACACAGGACCTGCATTTGGCCGGCGTTTTTCTTGCACGTTTTCCCTATTTGTTTCGGGGCCTTGCTGGGTTTTGGGGCGGTTTAGGTTGTTGATTTATGACGGCTTACGAGTTGGGGTGGGACAGGATGGGAAGATATGATACCAGGTCAGCAGCCATGATGCGCGTCATTCATGGCCGGCCACTGAACGATAGCTACCACTTGGGTATGTGAACTGACTACTAGCGCCTTTCTAACTTGCACGCTAAATACTACCCAAGGTCGATACTCTAGCACTGATCAGTTCTGGATGGTGAATTTCTGAAGCTACCCATAACATAGACTACCACACAAGCTCGCCTCCCTGCGCGGCCACGTCAGCAAACGGCACCACGGCATCCACCATGGCGCGCACGCAGTCGTCCAGGGACATGGTCGGCTTCCAGCCCAGGTCCCGGCATGTGTCGGTGATGCACGGCACGCGGCGCAGCACGTCCTGGTAGCCGTTGCCGTACAGCTCGCCCGACGGGACCTCGACCATCTTGACGCCCGCGCAGCGCCCCGCCAGCTCCGGGGTGCCCCTCGCGGCCTCGAGCATGCGCTCGGCGAGCTCGCGGACGGAGCAGTCGTTGTCCGGGCTGCCAATGTTGTAGATGCGGCCGCGCGTGACGCCGGCGTCGTCGGCCAGGATGCGCACCAGGGCGTCGACGCCGTCCCCGACGGCCGTGAAGGCGCGCCTCTGGCGCCCGCCGTCCGAGAGCGTCAGGTCCTCGCCGCGCAGCAGGTTCCCCAGGAACTGCGTCGTGACGCGCGAGCCGCCCGCCGGCCGCAGCGCGAGCGAGTCCAGGCCCGGGCCGACCCAGTTGAAGGGGCGGAAGAGGGTGAAGTCGAGCCCGCGCTGGGTGCCGTGCGCCCAGACGACGCGGTCCATGAGCTGCTTGGAGCACGCATAGATCCAGCGCGTCTTGCACACGGGCCCGTAGGCTAGCTCTGAGCTGGACGGGCTCAGCTCCGCGTCCCGGCAGAGCCCGTACACCTCCGAGGTCGACGGGAACACGAGCCGCGTGCCGTGCTGCGTCGCCCACCGCACGATGGCGAGGTGCGCCTCAAAGTCGAGCTCGAACACGGACAGCGGGTCCTCGATGTAGGTGCGCGGCGTGGCGATGGCCGCGAGCGGAACCACGACGTCGCACGCCGCCACCTGGTCCTCGATCCAGCGCCCGTTGCTGGCCATGTTGCCCTGCCGGAAGACGAAGCGACAGCCGCTGCCGCCGCCGTGCTGCTCTGCGAGGCTTGCGATGCGGTGCGAACCCAGGTCCAGCCCCCGCACGTGCCAGTCGGTCGTCTCGAGGATGCGGCGCGCGAGGTGGTGGCCGATGAAGCCGTTGACGCCGAGGATGAGGATCCGCTTCGGCCTCGCCGCCGCCGCCGCTGCCGCGCCGTCTCTCTCCTCGTCGTCGAGGACCTCGCGCAGCGCGTCGGGCGCCACCTCGCGCCCGCTCTCGAGCAGCTGCTGGACCACCACCACGCCGCCGTCGCCGCAGACCGCGACGATCTCCCCGCCGGCGACCACGTGCAGCCCCGGCGACAGGCCCGGTTCTTGACGGCCCGGCGGTAGCCTAGCGCGAGCGATGACGAACCGGCGCCCGCGCAGCTCCACAAACGCGCCCGGGTACGGCGGCGCGACGGCGCGGTAGAGGTTGTACACCTCGCGCGCGGGGCGGGACCAGTCGACGCGGCCGTCGTCGGGCTTGCGGCCGCCAAAGTAGCTGCCCTTCCCGACGTCGTTGGGCCGCCTCGGCGTGTTGCCGGCCAGCATCTCGGGCAGGACGTCCCACAGGGCCTTCTCGGCGGCGGTCGCCACCTTGGCGAACACGGCGTGCGCCGTGTCGTCGGGCAGGATGGGCACCGAGACCTGCGCCACTATGAAGCCGGCGTCGGGCCGCGCCACCATCTCGTGCAGCGTCGCCCCCGTCTCGGCCTCGCCGCGCAGCACGGCCCAGTTGACGGGCACGCGGCCGCGGTACTTGGGGAGCAGCGAGCCGTGCATGTTGAAGGCGCCGTGCCGGGCCTGCCGCAGGAGGCCCGGCGGCAGCAGGTGGCGGTAGTAGAAGCTGAAGATCCATCCCAGGCGCAGGGATGCCACGCGCTCGAGCAGCTCGGCCGACTTGGCGTCCGGTGGTGCAATGTGGGGGATGCCGCGCTCCTTGCATAGCGAGGCGACCGACTCGAACCAGATGTTCTCGGACGGGTCGTCCTCGTGCGTGACGACCAGGGGCACCGTGACCCCGCGGGCGAGCAGCACCTTTAGGCAGCGGACGCCGACGTCGTGGTAGGCGAAGACGACGGCTGTATGGGGCGAGGGGGACGACATGTTGATAGTTATGTTGGGGACCCCGGAGTTTTGCTCAAAGTACGGCAATGAGTATTAAAATCTGTCGAGATATACTAACCATGTCAAATATGCCATGGACACAAGATACATAAGAGGCTTCGGTCCATCCTTGACATCCCTTGATCAGGAGAATGACATCACGACTCACAACAACACTAATCTCAAAAGAGGGCAGCTCTGATGACGGAGGTGCCGTGAATCTCGCGCTAGAGGGGAGAGCATCCAGAGCTGCCTCGGATCGTATGTGACACTGGCGCAAAAGATGCCGTGGCCCAACATGGCAAAGGAGCAGCAAGCATGCATAACATAAAAGCAAAAATAGCCCAAAAGAGAAAAGCTCGAGGAGTAGACCGGATGCGAGTCACACGACCCGGACGAAAAAGCAAGAAACCACTAGCCGGTCAGGGGAGTTGCGGGCCCCAACAGCGCCTTGACGGCGTCCGCCACCCTGTCGACGTCGGCGTCGGTCATGGAGTTGAAGAGCGGCAGCGTGACGATCTGGCGGCCCACGCGCTCGGCGACGGGGAACATGCCGTCGCCAAAGCCGCGTGCGCGGTAGAGCTGGAAGAGGTGGATGGCTGGGTAGTGTACCCCGACGCCGATCTGGTGCCGCTCGCGCATCTGCTGGATGAAGGTGGCGCGGCCCACCCGAGGGGGCAGCACGAGCTGGAACAGGTGGCAGTTGCTGCGACTGGTGCTGGTGCTGGTGCTGGTGCTGCTGCCACCGCCCGGGGTTTCCCCTCCCTCAGCTCCGGCGGTGGTGGCGTCCTCGTACTCGCACCCGCAGGCCGCCCCAGGCGTCGTCGTGCAGTCATCACACGGGGGCGGCGGCAGCTGCGCGCCATAGGTGCGCTCAAAGGCGGCCGCGCCGTCTCCCCCCGCAAAGGCGGTGAGGTAGCGCCGCGCGAGCCGGCGGCGCTTGGCGGCGATGGCGTCCGCCTTTGCCAGCTGCGCCAGGCCAATGGCGGCCGCCAGGTCCGTCATGTTGGACTTGCCGCCCAGCACGTCCACCTCGAAGCCGTCGGCGCCCGAGCGCGTGAGCCCCTGCAGCCGCAGCTTCCCCGCCAGCCGCGCCTCGGCCTCGTCGTTGAGCACCAGGCAGCCGCCCTCGCCCGTCGTCACGTTCTTGGTGGCCTGGAAGCTGAAGGAGACGAGGTCGCCGAAGGAGCCGACGCGCCGGCCCTGCCACCTGGACCCGATGGCCTGCGCCGCGTCCTCGACCACCCGCAGCCCCGCCGCCGCCGCCAGCGCGTAGAGCCGGTCCATGTCGACGGGCAGGCCGGCGAGGTGGACGGGGATTATGGCACGCGTGCGGCTCGTGAGGGCGCGCTCGACCAGGTCCAGGTCCAGGTTGCGCGTGGCCGGGTCGACGTCGACAAAGACCGGGGTGGCACCGACGGCGAGGATCACGTTGGCCGTCGCGACCCACGACAGCGGCGACGTGATGACCTCGTCGCCCGGCCCGACCCCCGCCACGCGAAGGGCCACCTCGAGCGTGGCCGTGCCCGAGCTGAAGGTGCGGACGGGCCGCCCGCCAAAGTAGGCCGACAGCGCCGCCTCGAACTCGAGCACCTTTGGCCCGCTGGTCACCCAGCCCGAGCGCAGGACCTCGACGACGGCCGCGATGGTGGGCTCGTCGAACTCAGGCTTGGTGAAGGGGAGGAACGGCTGGGCTGCCATGGTTGGACGACGTGTCTGGCGCTAGTGGGAGGGGGAGGGAAGGGGGGGTGTAGAACGGTACAAGTGTGACCTGCTTGGTTCGAGAGGTCGAGAACGGCCTGGACACACATGCGGGCGAGCGGCTGGTTTTTGTAGCCACATCGTAAGTTGTCTCGGGCGCTGATCGGCACCGACACTTGCGTATTATAGTCAAGCGGAAATCAGAGCAGAGCCAGTGGTGGTACTGCATCCGGACGTCTGCAGTGTCCTTCTTGTGTCCCTGAGTCTTGGGGCTGAGGACATGGCGGTGATGAGATATCCTAGTAGTAGCTCTTTGTGGCCAAGGTTATCGTCAAGTGATCTCGTCGTCCATGGCCATAGCAAACGAGGCCCAAGTTGTGTGAGAACACTGATCCCGCAGCAAGGAAGAATATCCCAAAGACCAGTCGCCTGTGTGCTTAGCAGGTAAGTATGTTTCACTACAAAGAAGCGAGGGTCGAGAGGGTCTAACATCCAGGGTGTGATTGTGTTGTCGCCATCTAGAAAATACTTGCTGTTTCTTTTCTGCCCCTTTCTGAACTGACTGACACCGCTAGGAAGCTGTTACATTGGGCTTTAGCTGGATCGAGCTTGTGCTAAAATTGGGGCAGTGGGGTACCAGTCATGAACCCCTGGGGGCGTTACAATTCGTAGTCGCCAATTTTGCCCGCGATTTTGGACAAATGCTTCGTCGTCAACGGCCAACACAAGCAACTACGCCATGTCGTCGTCGGCCTGGAATGCCGTGGCCAAGGCGGCCGAGAGAGTGCCCTACGGACTCAAGCGCTCCGTCTTCGTCAGGGTCCACCCTCAGCCCGAGTCGCTGTCGGAGCGCCGCGCCGTGCTGCGACTACTCCAGCGCCACGGCGAGGTCGAGATGTTCAAGAAGCTGCGGGTGCGTCTGTCCGTTGCTCACTGTAGAGGAGGAGGAGGAGGAGGAGGGCCGGCGCGCCGCTAACGCAGGCAACCTACACACAGTCAAACAACAACTCGTTCATCTCCGTCATGAAGACGTCCGACGCCGCCAAGGACCTGGCTAGCCGCTCCCCCATCACGTACGAGCTCATCACGGACAAGTTCGCCCCGCCGGGCGCGAGGGACGTGCTCGAGATCACGGCCGCCGTCGAGCCCATCGAGACCACGGCCGCCTCCGACCCCAGCTTCGCCGGCAACTACATGAGGCAGTTCTACAGGGACCTCAACAGCAGCAGCAAGGGCCAGACGGTCGATCCGGGAAGGCCCACAAATGACAGCAAAAACAGCGGCGGCGGCGGCGGCGAGGCAAAGGTCGAGCACAAGTCGTTCACGCTCCATGCTTTCACGACCGAGAGGTACGACCACGGGCTCGCCATCCGCGTCGGACCTCTGTGGGGCCGCTGGCCCGAGGAGCCCGTGGCGCGCGAGATGCTCATGTTCAAGGCCCTGGACGAATCCGTGCCCAGCAACCCCGGCCACGAGGGCCTCTGTGACTGGTACACGGGCGGCCAGCTCACCGAGGGGGAGACGGCCACCACAGTCTCCAAGCCGCAGAGACAGGTGGCCAGGTTCAAGAACGAGGCCGAGGCGACCTTTGTCCACGCGAGCCTAGGGCTAGGCACATAGGTAGGTAGGTCGACTTGCAGCAGCAGAAGACGCTGCCATCCAAGCTGAACGCTGGGTATCCTGCAGAGCATTCATGACACACATGCAAGATTTTGGCAGCAAATCTGCCATCGCACATGGTATGCGCCTGGTGGTGCTGCGCTGGTGTGCGCTGGTGGTGCTGCGCTGGTGGTGCTGCCGCTAAGGAGTCAGTGGGCCCACCACAACAGCTCCAAGGCCCTGTCCAAGCTTGGCACACGAAAGCCTGCCCCACTTGGTAAGGCCGCCGCCGCCAACGACGTCACCACCAAGATCCCTTCAAAGGCACCCCAGCCTCAAGCCGTCGGTTCGCCAGAAATCAAGAAACGCACGAGGTGCCACGCTCTCCAACCAGAGACCACCATTTGTGGCGCACACCTTTGAGGAAGCAGCTCCCCCGGCTGACACGCTGACTCGCGATCAAAACCACGCCCATCGGCGGTTGATGACGTAGTATCCACCACTGGACTGCCGCTACTGGCCGACTTGGCGATCAGCGTCCTGAACCCCTGGCTTGTCGTCGTCACTCCCCCGGATTGACCAGGCCAGCAGTGATGGGAGAGATGGCACTAGTTACCCCGATCTCCCGTGTCAACCTAATGTAGCTTTATATACTGGCACGATCCCCCCATTCTCGTCCAAGTGTCCTTTCGCATCCAAGCCTCTCCGAGTCCGTCGTATTCAACGTAATCTGCTGTGTTTGACCACTTCCCATATCCTCAATACTATCCTCCATCAAACCAACGGCCCTTGACCGTGTCGAGACTCAAGTCACCATGGCGGTAACGGGCCTCGTCCACCACTTTGGCACCTTTATGCTGTTCTCGGCAGTCATTCTCCTCGTCATCACAAACATCACCGCCCCCGTCGTCCACAACATCTCCCTCCTAAGGATCGACCTCAACGATGCTCAGGGCCAGCACAATCCCGCCTTGACCTTTGGCACCTTTGGCCACTGCTTCGTCGATGCCCCGGGAGGGTAAGCTTTTGATCCCCCGTCTGCTCGCTCCGCCCCGCCTTTTCCCAAAAACTCATGGCTAACCCACCACCCCCGCTCCCTCCCAGCGATGACTGCTCCCCCTCCATGGTCGGATACGACCCCGCCGAGGTCATCAACGAGCGGACGGGGCTGAACTACTACTCTACCGCCGCCGGCACCGCCCGCGCCCTGACGCGCGTCATGATCCTGCACCCCATCGCCGCCGGCGTCGCCTTCATCGCCTTCGCCCTGTCCCTGGGCGCCGGCACCTTTGGCAGCCTGCTGGCCTCCCTGGCGGCCCTGCTCGCCTTCTTCGTCACCCTGGTCCCGCTCGTCACCGACTTTGTCATGTTTGGCATCATCCGCTCCGGCATCAACGACAACCGCAACGTCGACGCCCGCGCCCAGTTCGGCACCGGCCTGTGGACCCTGCTCGCGGCCGCGGTGCTGCTGCTCGTCGGCACCGTCATCGTCTTCTTCACCTGCTGCTCCGCCCGCATCCACCGCCGCCGCGACGCCCGCGTCACAAAGGCCGTCGACGGCTACGCCCCTGCCGAGGCTCCCCGTCGCCGCAAGTGGTTCTAGGCGCCCCTGTGATGAAATCAGGGTTTGCTTTCTTCTAAAATCTTTGGCCACCCTTTAGTGCATGCCGTGGTTGTTTCATCATCCACCAACAGCACCTCGCTTTACACCTAATGCTATCAACTTCCCCAAGATATCCCAACGACCCAAGACACCCGCAAACGAATACTGTAGAATAAATACCCCCCCAAACGCCGCGACAGGCAGTAACTTGTATCAAAATACATGATGCAAATACCACACTACTTCCTCTATAGTCATGTGACCGAATGATTGCAGCCTAACCCACAGCCCGTGAGCGGGAAATTATCACAATGTCTTCTTAAACTGAAGTCATAATCATCGCTAACAGGAGCATGGGATCCCAAAATGGAAATCCCTCCGCTACTGTCTTGATTAGAATTTCTATCCTACCTATGTACCTGTGTGTGCAACATGTGAGGCTGTCAAAGGAGGGTAGCGGTGCCTCCCCTGCGATTCCACCGCGGGGTGTAATGTAAATATATCACCAATCCCTCCGTCCCCGCGCCCCTGGAGCCCCCTTCCTCGATCCCACCCCCGTTGCCGATAATCAAAGAAGAAGAAACCCTTTTCCGCCCTGTCTCGCTCTCTTTTTGATTTTGTGTGTATAGGACGGCAAACCACCTTGTTTGCGCCACCAAGTCCCAGCTGCTCGGCGGGGGAGATCCAACATTGACACTCTATACAACGCTTGCGGTTCAAGCAACAAGAAATACACACAAACAGCGACCAGCCGATAAATTCCCATCGCACGTCTCAGAATATCAAGGTTGAAAAGTTGGGGATATCTTCGCCAAAAAAAAGAGGGTATGAACGTAAATCAAAAGAAAGGCAAGCGTCATCGAAGGGAGATTCGTTAAACTGCTGGGGTCGGCCAGCCAGTAGCCACATCCGTGAGCGTGGAGCCGTAATGAACGCGTTGGATGGAATAATAAATAATAATAATAACACAAGAAGGCAGCGTAGCAAGGCTGGTACTTCTTAAAACGTCTCAGACTCCTGTGACGCGAGGGATCCGAAGGTGTCTGTTGGGTTGGGGCATGGTTAGCATATATTGGACAGGAAACGGTCTCGCCATACTGCCCGGGAAAATGGCAAACCTACCTCGCTTGCGCCGTCTGTCATCCTCACTCTTGGGGGTCATGGCCCTGGGCCCGCTAGGTCGACGAGTTGGGGCGTTGTTGCCAAGGGCGGAACTGAGGTTCCTGTTCTCCAGCTTGGGGCTGCCGTGGTAGCTACCGTGGGTGCCCGTGCCGTAGCCGCTCTCCACGCTGTGGTAAGGCAGAGGGCTCGGGGCCGTCTTCTGCAGCTTGCTCACCCGGCTCGACTTTGGCGGCGTCATTTGACCCATTTGAGACTCATCAAGCGGCTCTTTGGGTGGGCGCGGGGGCCCCAGAGGTGAGCTATCCCCAGCGTCCCCGGCGCCAGCGAGTGGCGCGGGCGAGGAGCCCCAAAACTGCGGGTCCTGGGGACGCGCATTATCCCTCCCTTGGAGGCGGTTCAGGCTGGTGGCCGAATGAGCCCAATCGGCCGAGTAAGGCGAATGGGGAGTGTTGAACTGCTCGGCCCCCGTCTCGATGGCGACCTGGTACTGCTGTCCAGGACGTGGCTGAGGGTGCCTGAGGTTGAGAGAGTCACGATGGGCCTTGTACTTCGGGTCTTCGGGCATCATTTCGCGCAGGTCCTCCTGGGTGAAGCCCGTGTGGAGCTTGTCCTCACCATACGGGTCAGTGTTTGGCTGCCCGTCGTAGGCCAGATCGGACCCCGAGCGAGACGCGTTGTTCTTGCGGAAGACCTTTCCCACGCTCGACGCCGTCGTCTCGGACCAGCGGGAGATCTTTGGGAACCAGTTGGACGAGCTGGACGACTTGTGCTTCTTGCTCTTGTCCGTGTGAGGTGTATTCTCGTTGCTGGCCGCCTGCGCTGGCAGTACCGGGTGAGGTGGCGTCGCCACGGGGACCGAGCCACTACGCGGGATATCGTTGCGCTCCGGCGTGTGGTGCATCCCCAGGGTGTCGTACTGGTCGTCGCGGTGGTAGCCCAGCGCGGCTCCCCGGTCGGCCAGTTGGTGGTCGTACTCGTCCTCGTTCGCCTCGTGAACGGTGCTGATGCGGTGGTCAGAAAACTTGCGCTCGTAACCCGTCTTGCTTCCCGAGACGCCACGTGACTGCGAGGGGATAGACAAGTGGCCCGACTGGCTCGCGTGGCTGGCTGTCGACGTGCCAGCGTGTCCCTCGGGCTCGTAGCCACGGTCGTGCTCGTACTGCACTGCGGGCTGCAGGTTGTCGAAGGGCGACCGCACGCCATCGCGCGTTGGGCTGGCTCCCATGCTGTGGCCTGCCGTCTGCGCCTTGAGGGTGTCGACCTCGGTGAGGAGCTGCATCAGCATGTCCTCGATCTTCCCGAGATCGTTGTTGCCCTTGGCGCTCAGACCCTTGAGCGCCCGCCGGAACATGTTCTGCTTCTTGGTCGGCATGTCGTCGGTGCCGGCCTGGGAACCTCCCTGCAAGGACCTGGGTGCGCTACCTGGGAATGGCCGGGGTCCGCCGATGACGCGCTGGACCGTCTTCTCCGTGTTCTCGTCCACCTCTCGGATGATGACATCCTCCGAGTCGGCGATCATGTGCTTGATCTTTTCAAACGACTCGCGCATTTCCGCCGCGGACCGGACAAGCGTCATAAGAATCTCCGTGTCCCTCGCGCTGCGCTGCGCATCGCGAACCATGAGGTGCTGCATCAGGGCAATGATGTCCTTGGACTCAATGCGGTCGATGCCCGCACCAGTCGACGGGTCGTAGAGGGGAGAGCCCATGCCCTGCGAGAGACCGCTCATGTGCCTCGACGCCTTGGAGGTATAGAAGGGGTCGTCCAGGTCGGCGTTCATGGGCTGCGAGAGCTCGACGCCCTTGCCCTTGCGCCTGCTCATCTCCTGGTTCTCGTTGGCACCCTGCGAGATGTATCCCTCATCGACCTTGTTGTTGTGGCCAACTGGGCTGCGCGTCGCGAACCCAGCACCATAACCGGGGTTCTGGAACACAGGGGGGGCGCTGCCCAAGAGCTCGTTGCCGAGCCCCGGAAGGTTGACCTGCGGGCTGGTGCCCTCGAAGGGGTTCGTGACGAGAGTGTCCCGTTTGCGGTCATCCGAGCTTCGCTGCCAGTCCTCATGGTCCTGGCTGGGCTGGCGGCTGTGAGACGAGGCCAAGGCAGCGGCAGTTGCCAGGGCTGCTCCGGCTGCTACCTTGGCCGTGGTGGCCTTCTCAAAGCTGTGGCCAGACCGCTCAGCCTCGGCTCTGAAGCTGTCATCTTGGGGCGGCACACGGCGCTCTTGGGTGGGTGTCCTCTGGCCTGCCCAGCTGTCCTCCTGATCCTCCCCATCGAGCTGACCTTCGATGATGGACGGCTCGAAGAACCCCATCTCTGGCTCGGGATCATCGAGATCTGGCACACCACTGGCACCCATCCTGGGCTTTTCAAACTCATCCAGGCGATCCACGCTGTGCATAGGTGTGTTGGCGGGGCGGTGTCCGTCCATGGTCCGCTCCTTGAAGGACTTGTTGCGTTGCACCCCAGGGCCGTCGAGGGCATAATCCTCTTCCTCTGCATCCTCGGTCCGCGTCTGCATACCCTTCTCTTTGGCGGCGTCCCGAAGCCTAGCCGAAGCGACAGCAAAGGCAGCTCCAGTGATGGCTGCCTCAGACGCTGTTGGGGACTGGCGCTCAGCGGACTGAGATGCCGCGGGAACCTTGCGCCCGAACTGGTCGAGCTCATATTCACCAGTAAACCCGGCGGATCTAGACTGGCCGCGATCATGCGAGACACCTGATGTGCGCGAGTTCATCGAGCGAGGCGTCCCACCCCTTGCGGTGTCGCGGTTAATAGAACGGGCATCGGGGGTGTTGCGACCATAGGAGCCTTCTTCCGGCAGCGTTGCCATGGATCCGCGGTCGCCGTTGTATTGATGGCTGGGGCCGCCACGCCCAGAGTTGTTTGTGAGCACGGAGCCATCGAGCATCGATCCGTCTATGAGAGAAGCGACGGCCGACTCGACCCCGAGCGCCGAGGGGATATGAATAAAATTGGGGTTCGCGACAATGCCGCGGACAGCCTGGCCAGACGAAACATCAGCACCGAGGTCGCTGTCCTCGGTGAGTGTCGGGTTCCTGTAGCCGACGGCAGAGCTCCGGACGCTTCGGTCATCGTGTTCGAAGTCGCGGCTCCTGGTATTGCTGAGCTCCGAGTCCGCTGAGAATGGCAAATGGTCGTGACGAGGCGACTTCCCAGGAGACGACAGCGAGCCACTCGTTGTGTGAGTTACCCGTGAATCTCGGGCCTGGACCTCACTGCCGCCTTCCGTATATCCCGAAACACTGGGGATAGGGCTGAGGCCGCGGCGCTCCACGCCGTATGGCTCATACTTGAGGGGAGCCGGTACGTGCTGGGTGTCGTAGTATTCGAAGCCTTGCTGGTCGTCATACTGATAATCATCTTCTGCCTCATCGTAGTCGTCGTACTCTTGTTGACGGTTAATGGGATACTTGCGACCATACTCGTCCGTCTCGAACTCGGTTGCACCCACAGCGCTGCCCGTCCGCGGCAAAGCCCTCAGGTCGCCATGAGAAACATTCATGTGCTGGGTTCCCAGGCCTGCAAGAGTTGCCACAGGCTTCTGCGTTGGCGTGGTGCTGGACTCTTCGTCAGCTCGGTCCCCGACCATCCCCCTGCCACCAGCCACCTCGCGGACAGGTGTCAGCTCTTCGGTTGCCGAATGGGGCCGCTCAAGGTCTGTGTCGGCAGACAGTATCGACTGCCTCGTGAGTTCAGATGGGTTTATCTCACTGCCCAGCGGCATCGGGGCAGTCTGCTGAAACTCCGAGTCGTCGTAGTCCTCGCCGAATCCGGTCGCTGCGCGGTTCTTCGCCTCGGCACGGCGACGCTTGCGTTGCTCTCGCGCAGGTGCTGCAGATGTGTTGTTGAGTGCACCAATTCCAAGTGCGCCAGCGACAGCACCGGCAGCGGCAGCCCTTATGCTGTAGTCGCGACGGGCAGGGGTGGAGTCTAGTTCCTGTTGCATCGACTCCAGGGCCGACTCTTGTGACTCGCTGGGGGCAGGACTCTCAACGACAACGTTGCGCGCCTCCCTGTTCCGCGTCTCTTTGGCCTTCTTGCTCCCAATGCTGTCCCTGGGCCCGAGACCATGGCGCTCACTCCCACCGGACCTTCGCCTGTCTGCGGCGCTGGTAACATCATCTCGAGACACCGAGGTGCCGCTGGTGGATGCGGTCGAGTTGCGACGACCGTGTGTTGACCTCTGACTCCTCTCTCGCTTGAGCTCCTCGAGCTCGGGCAGGATCAGCCGACGGATGGCATCCTCCACCGCGTCGAGAAGTTTCGGGTTGTTGATTGAGGACTTTGAGGCCCCCGAGCGCACCGATTGCTGGTCCTGCGACCGGTGGCTCGGTGCCATGGTCGACGAGACCACACTAGAGTCTGCGACCGAGTGGCTGGCATCATGCTGACTGCGGCTTGATTTTCGCCGCGTAGACTTATCCTCGTCTCTGTCTCGCTTCTCGCTTACGCTGCTGTTCCGACTCTTGCCCTTGCTCTTGCGGTCCGATCGCTCTTTATCCCGAGTTTTCGGGAGTACAGGTCGCTCTTTGGATTCGCTTCGGCCGCCACTCCGCGCCTTGTCGACGGCTGCGGCGGCAGCCAGCCCGGCGGCAGCGCCACCGAGAACATGGCTAGTCCGTGAAGGGCTCTTGTCGCGCGTCCGTACGGGAGAACCCGACGACGGCCCTGAGCCGTCGAGGAAGCTGTCGGTGGGGATGGCTGAGATCTCCGAGCCGGTGTTCGGCTGGTAGGAGACTTTGCTGTTATCGTTGGTAGGAATCAGTGGGCTAGCAGGCCGTCGGCGGCGACGATGGTCGATCTCGACCTCAATGGGCTGGCGAGAGACGTTAGACTCCTCGGTGGCCGAGGCGTAAGAGTCCATGCTGTAGGCGTCCTCGCCCTCGCCACTGAGGACCGAGACGGCGTCGCCTTCGTGCAGTCGGGAAGGCAGCGTGGCGTCGTTGGGATAGTGTGTTTGTGAGGTCCTGCGACTCGACTTGGTCTCGGTGACCTGGATGTGGCCGTCTTTGCGGCTCTTGGAAGGGGTCAGGCGCACGCGGACGCTGGGCCTCCGCTCACCGCCACTGGCCGAGGCGGTGCTTCCCTTGGGGCCCTCGAAATACTCGATCAGCAGCGAGGTCTGAGAGCGATTGGCCTTGTGGCGTGTCCTGATGGTGACGGGGGTGCCGTCCTCTGGTAGGGAATAGTGGGATTTGTTCTCGGGGGGCGGCGAGAAGTCGTAGTCCGAGACTTCGCTCGGGGCGGTGGTCTCTGTTTCGGTGGGAGCAGGGAGGGGAGGGACGTTTTTCTGGGAATCAACGACACCCATTGTGAAGTGTGGAGACCTTGCAGCTCAATTTGGGTGGCGGGCCTGCGTTTTTTCCCTGTTGATTCCCCGCAGGCGATGCCAATTCAGCCCAAGCCCGACCTGTCCCGTTGGAGCTTTTCGTCCTTGGGCGCCGGCGGAGCGTGGCAACGCTCTCAGGACGGCAGGCGAGAGGCTGGGTTGGGGTGGGTTGGGGTGGGACGGGTGAGATGCAGGCAGGTGCAGGCAGGTTTATTACCAATGACAGTCTTGGTTGATTGACTTGTCGCGATGCATCAGGCGTTGGATGGGTCGATAGGATGTGGCAGAAAATGAAGGGTAAGGATAGGTAGACTGGGTATGGGCAGACTGGACTGGGTAGACTGACAAGCCGGCAAGGTCGAGGCGGGCGGGCGCTTCCTGCCAGTCGCTGCTTGCTTTTGGGGGAGGCAAACCTCGTCAGGCCCGAGCTAAGAGGCGGGCGCACATGCAGCAGTCAGGAGTGCCGCCGCGCGTGCGAACCGATGCAAGAAAGCAGACGCACGCACACACATACATTGGCATCCACCACGCACAAGAAGAGGAGAAGGCAAACCAACCCAAAGCCCACCAGTTGCGCAGGTGGGATATGCTGGATATGCGGTGCCCTGCTCCGGTGCTTGGCTCTCGTTTGTGCTCTCCAACGGCGTGGTCTGGAGTGGTCGCGCGTGTGCTTCGCCGCAGTGCCTGCCTAGCCGCAGCAAGCGGTCAAGGGCCAGGTGCAGGCGAATCCGGTTGTCGAGCAACGAGTGGCTGGGGTGGCCTTCGATCCCGAGGCCTCAGCACCGAGTAGGGAAGGCGCAATGTGCTGAACCTGGCCTGTGCTTGTGCTGGCAATGCGCGCGCGAGGCGATTTGCTGCGATTGCGATGGTCAATCCAGGAAGCAGCCGCGACAAGAAGATATTCGTCCGCCTTTCTCTACAGGTAATCTTTCTAGAAGTTTGTTTCCCGTCGCATCCAACGCGACGACAAGTGACTAGTCCCGTCCCGTCCTCGAAGCATAACGGGGGTTTGTATTGTTGCCAGGCTCACCAGTCACTGCCCACTACGATGGGGCCAAAGAGATGGAGTGAGGGAGAGAGGGAGAGAGCTTGCATGTAACCCTGGTGCCAGGCGAACAGCCAGCTCTCCTCCACTCGAGTCCAGTCGGGCTGGCTGCCTACCTCTTCCTGGGCACGCGGGAGATACTTGGGTACCTACATGCACCTCGTCCTCCCTACCAGCCTTCTTGGGTGCGTGCATCCGGGCAGCACGAGTCCCACACACACATGGGTCAACGCAGTGCGGCGGCTGGACGGCGGAAGGAGGGCAGGATGATGGATGCGTTGGCACCCCCGCAGCCAATAAAGCACTGGTTCTGAAGCTGCAGAGGGCTGCAGGTGCGCGCAACGTGCATGTTTCAAGGAATAATCGGACAAGCTCCAATCTCCTCGTCCTCTTCTCTTCTGATCCCATCACCATCGGGTATCAATCTGCATCCGAGTATGGCGCCGCCTCGTTCATTACGGGCAGAAGGGATGCGCGCGAGGGAGAGGCCAGGGGTCAAGAAGTCGCACAGCGCGCGCAAAAAGTCATGACAAGATGGACCATGTTGTTAGAATAGCGCTTCCTATCGCACGTCCTAGGAGCTGTCAGCCCAGCCTGAGCTTGCCCTTGTCACAGCCTACCCTCCCGCTGCGCTAATCAAGTCAGCGTTTGCTAACATTGCCCGATATTGAGGTTTACCATATCCAGCCTGGCCTGTCCGTTCGCTTCGCGCCCCTTGCACGCCTTTCTGAAGAAGGCTCTCGCCCAACTTGGCTGATCACGCCGTCAGCGGTGCCGAACAAGACATCAACCATGACCGAAGGAGGCAAGTGGGAATCCCGCCGGGACAGAGTCCGCGAGGTGGCACCGACGTCCTCCCTGTCTGACTGCTCCATTGGCTGGGCGTGGGACCACGCTTGGATGAGGATCGCTGACCCCGGACCTGGGAAATTCCCTCGATGTGGGCTGGTGACCAGGACAGGCCACCGACTGGCCGGGGCGAACACGCGCCGTGGCTGGTTGCCCGAGCTCCCAGCCACCAGCCATCCCACGTCCTGTCCCCAGAATGCGCAAGGAACAGAAGGCCTTGAGACGGCTCTGTCTGCCGCCTGCATCGAACACGCAAAGCCCCCGTCGGCAGAGAAAACCACAAGCACGACACGGCCATGGTTCAGCCTCATGTCCGCTCCCGTTCCGGCAATTTTCAACAACGCCCCTTCGCAATTTCGCCCACTCTGGCACCCAAAGCTCGGCATTTACCTGCTGCACAATCTTCGTCCCTCTGTGTGATGCACGTAGTGGAACACGGCTCTCTCGATTTGAACAGCCTGAGACGTGAAAAAAAGATACAGTGTCACATTGAGAGTTCGTGATATCGTAACATGCCCTCTCGTATTCCTATGTCGTCCCTGTAATACCATGCCTTCATACGTCCGCGTATTTGGCATTTCTCGTGTGGATCAGGGCTTCACTGCCGAGCTCGTCGACCTGGCTTTCCCTCCAAGTTCCAGCCCGAAAACCCCTCCGAATGCACTATCCTGGGGGTTTATAAAGCACGGTTATAAGAAATTAGCCTCAGATCAATATACCTTTGCCATAAATCTGAACCCTACTCGGGCTTTTATTTTTATTTCCTTTTCTGTTCGTGTCCCTCTTTTGCTCCTGTTCCTGTTTTTGAGACTCTCCTCCTTTTCATATAGGCTCCTTCTCCCACTCCTTTCCTGAAATAGAGTCGTCCCAGCAACCCAATAATTATAACCACCGGGGCCTGTAAATGTGTCGGGGTTGCACATTATGGCAAATCTTCTGCCAAACAGGTCAACCAGATCTTCTGGGGTTCTCGCGTGACTTTATTTTGGTGGTAGCCTTGTTTAAACAGTCGATACTCAAAATCGCGCATGTCTAGGTACTCACCATCTTGCCTTTCTTCTGTCAAGCCTCGTGAGTTCGCTCGCTGCCAAAATATGTCCCGACTCGTCCCACATCGTCCTGCACCTGGGTGTCTCGTTTTCTAAGCCAAGGCCCGGCTCGAGTCTGGTGCACGGCGGTCACCATCCCAGCATAGCCGGCCAGGAAAATACTCAAGATTGATTTCGAATACTTTAATGTCATTAGTGGGGTTATTTGTTACTATACGTCTAGCACAGCCGGAATCCTCTCGACAAAGTGTAAAACACCGTGTATGCGGTTGTTTTCTACCGAAGCCGTTGCCCATGCAGTCACAGAAGGAGAATCCCCCCGATTAGTGTCCGGCAATTGAAACTCAGGGTGGGTGTAGTGGATATGTACAACTGACCAAAAATGGGGGGTCAGACAAGAAAGGTACTGAAAGAGAAAAATACACCGCAGAGAAACCGATAGACTCCATACTCCTCCATCTCACGTGCCAGGTCTCGCAAGGTAACTGTTTTGCACACGGGTGCCACTTGCACCGTTCGGCACGTTAGGAATCGGGAAACAGCTCCAGGTCACCCAGTGTCTCCCTGACTACCTCGTTTCCAGAGAAGTGTGTCGAGAAGCCACCTTTGAGGACATCCTGTAGAAGCTCAATGCGGACCTTGGCGGCCCATGACTCGATGACGTATATCTCGTCCTTGTTGATCCTGAGCTTTTCACGGTACCCGAGCTCCTCGACTTCATCGCCCTGATCCACCTCCTTAGATCCGCCAGTGTGAGGGTTTGATACCGGGCGGCTGGTGGCCGACCAGCCCGGGCCCTTTCCGAGCTCGATCGAGGTTATGACGCTGGCGAGGTCATTCCGCACCTGAGTTCTGCCCTTCTTGGAAATCGACTTGGATCCCTTGGACAGCTCCCTCATGCGCTTGACGAGGTACTTTGGATCGACCGACAGGTTCAAGGACTGGCCGTTGCCCTCCTCCTCGAGTTCGCGCGAAACCTCAAAGAGCAAGGCAATGTTGATGCCAGCCGATGATCGCACATTGGCATCTGTACTCTCAAGCTGCTCGACGAATGCATCCAGAGCCTCCTCGTTGTGCGATGAGGGGTTATCTAGGTTTGTTGCCACAAAAGCCCAGACTTTCATGGCTGTCGTCACCACTATGCCGCTGTCGGGTGCGCCGATGTGGTTGCCGTCGCTCTCGGCGACGTATGTGAGGAACTCGAGGAACTCGTCCATGTCCTGCTCCTCGCCACCGCCATACACCACCACGACACCCATCGTGGAGAGCGCCTGCACCTTGACGGCTTCCTCCTCAGAGTCCTCACAGACCTGCTTCAGTACCGGGAATGACGTCTCGTAGATGTCATCGGAAGGTGACGTCAAGGCGGTGACGGCGAGTGCCTTCATCGAAAGGACCTGCTCGTCTGAGTTGGCGCTCCGGATGCTTCTAACAAGGGAGGGCAGGATGCTGGCCATAGACTTGCTGACCACGCTGTCAGCGGGATGGTAGCGCAAGTGATGGGCGTAATCACCCAGCACAGTCGTCCGGCCAGTGCCGCTGCGCTTTCCCGGCGCCAGGAGTTCGGCGATGCGCCCGCGAAGTTTTTCTTCCCACGACTCGGGGGTGTCAAGCTCCGAGACAGAGTTGGTGCTTGCAGTCATGACGTCGTCAAGATCGGAATCGCTAGTTTCATCGTTTTCTGACGCGTACCGAGACGCAGGGCGCGAGGCTGGCCGCGAGGCTGGGCGAGAGTTTCCGGGAGAAGTGTTGGGTGTCTGGGCAGCAGACCCGCGTGCCTTTCTGGAAGCCTTCTTGCCGCTCTCCACCAGTGTCTTCTTGCGCAAGTCCTGCATTTTTGCGGTGCTCCTGAGATTTTGATAGTGGCGCAAAAACAGACGGGAAAATACAGAAAAGGTCGACGACGAGCCTGTGTGCCGTCTGGGGCACAGCTTTGTGGTATTTGCCTCTCGTGTCTGCGGCGATGCGTGAGGGTTTAGGAGCCGCAAGCGTGGTTTTCGCCAGTACGGTGGTAAAAAAGGTTCGCAGGGGCAAGCTCGAAAGTTGCGGGTGGAAGTGGGAAGCGGCGAATTTTGAAAGTGGACGGAGATGCCTATTGCGTCACAAGACCGAATCTAGGGTCAGATGGATATTATTCGACGAGAGATAATACATATGGGATAATGACTGTGCGTCTTATGCGGCAGAAGGATGGGTGAGCTCGAATGGTATTTTGCGACACGGCGCGCAAGCAGGAAGTCCTTTTGAGCAAAACCACGAGAGCAGTTGTTGTGTGATGATTCGTGGTTGGAAGCTGGTGTGATGTGGCGGGATGGACAGGCAGGTTTGTTTCGCCCCCTCTGAAAGCGGCAGCATGTTCCACTGAGAAGGAGAGGGATGGTTATTATGTGAGGTGGGGAGCCCACGGGGCGCCCCAGTTTTGATGTGGCCTGACCGAGCCCCCTGTCAGATGGAATTTGAGTGTTTGCATATCCCGCGCTAGCCCAATGCGCCCTTGCCGGAGTTGTCCACGAACATTTGATCTCTTCGTCCGACACTCCGGATCCGGGGCCGCAGGCTGGCAACCCCTCGGGATTAACTGGGGCCCGTGTATGCACGTCGCAGCTGTCTACCTACCTACCTACCTACCTAGGCACTAGGTACCTAGGTATTAGATTGCGCACCCTTTTGGCGGGGTTGGGAATCATATCTTTATTCCGAGTCCAAGGGCTTGCGGCAGACAAGAGCGAGGCTCCGAGTCCAAGCTGCGCAGGGGCAAAGGGAGCTTACCCCAAGTGTCGGTTGGAATTTGGAAACGAAACAGGCCCGTCGATTGTGCTGGGTGTGCCCGTCCATCACATCAATGACCGTTCGAGGCCATCAATAGGTTGTACGTGGATGGATGATGCTACACAACGGGACTAAGGCGACGTGAGAAAGGCCGATGGCTAAACCGAGAGGCGATAGGTTTGAAGTGGTACGCTGCCGCTCGTTCAACTACGGAATGGGCAGGCTTCGACTGCACAGTGGCCGAGGCAGTGGCTTCAAATATTTGCTTGAACCTGCATGGGGTTCGTACCCTTCTTGGGTGTTTACATGGAGCCCAGGAATTCGAAACCCAATCCGAGATCCGATTCCTTCCCTTGCAGCACCCATTCCTCCATTGCCGCCCGGCTTCTGTTTAAGCTGTTTATCGCTGTCTGGTGGAGTGCCCGGGCGGCGAGGTGAGCGAGTGAGCGAATGGAGTCTCAGTACTGTGAACTTCGGTGCGGGGGAGGAGGTCGTGGCAAGGGTACCTCAGGCGGGTGGGCGCAATGGGCCGGGAGTTCAGCAGCTGCCCCTCCATCTGTGACGCTTTCCGGGACCCACCAATGCAGGGCCCCACCTTCCCTCTCCAGCTCATGACCTCTATCTGCGGGTCGGTCCTGCACTTACCTCCGCCTATCTACCGCTTCCACAGTACTTGACGTCCTTTTGCGCGGACTGCCTGCCTGAGGTCGCAGCTTCCTGCTGCCTGGATTCGCGGATTCGCAGCGTGGCTGTAGTACCTAACTTTGAGCTTGATCAAACCTCGCCCGCCCGAACTCTCACTGCCATATTTCTTTTACCACCAACCTACTTTACCATACTCACCACCGCCACCAATACCTGTCACCTTCGCTGGCTGTGCCCACGCTGTTTCCTGGTGTCGGGGCTTCACTGCCGCCAGTCGCCATCTCTTCATCTCTTATTCTCCCAGTCCTGTCCTGGCCTCACAAGGGCGGCTGACGGAACACGGCCTCAACCCCACCTTTGACCTCGCCTCTCCGCCAAACCATCCGGAACTACCTACCCCATCCTCCCCCGCGATAACCGCTTGCCCGGGCACCTCGACCCCGCGACGCTCTCGGCTCCCTTGAATGGGTGCGTCTGCATTCTAGGTCTTGCCGTCCCGACCACAAGATGGCCTCATCGGACAGCGACTGTAAGCCCGGCTCCGATACCCTCCGTACCCACCAGCTTCCACGCAGCCCGAAGACTGACTTGTCGCTCGTAGTGATGGTCACCTTGACCGATACCAGCAAGTCCGCTACCAACACACAGCGGCTCATCCGAGTCACAAGGCAAAACCCTATAATCCGATTCGGGCGAGCCTCCAAGACGCAGGCGAAAGGCCGTGTGGCCGCAGATAACAATGCGCTCTATGACTCGCCCGTAATGAGCCGCGAACATGCGGAGCTCATTGCCGACGTCGACGCCAAGGCGAGTTCCTTCTAGATAGCGTCCAAACAATCAATGCACCGGTGGCAAACTGACTCTGAAATCTTCTCGCAGACTCTGGCAGTCCTTGACGTCGGTTCGACGCACGGCACCTTCCTGAACGGGTCCGACCATCCAATCACTAAAAACACCGAGCACGCGGTGAAAACGGGAGATAAACTCCGGTTTGGCATCGCAATCAACCGAGACCGCGATGCCTTTACCCCGATTACCGTGGAGCTCGGATACGAGTTTACGAGCCGGTTTGTCCACATATAACATCTTTGAATATTCTTAGGCTTGTGGCATTAACTGACATGGGATTTCTAGATGCGGACCGGTAACTTTCCAGGTCCCAGATGATTCAGCAGACGAGGACGCCCAGGCCGATCATGTCGACTTGACGCAGGGGGAGGACGCCGACATCGTCGACTTGACATCGGAAGCGGCGTGCTCTCCCAGCTTGTCGAAACACATCGATCTGACTTCGGAGGCTGCCCCATCTCCTAGCCGGGAGAGATTTGCGGCGCCCTCTGAGAGCACGGACGACCAGGTCAGCGGTTTCACCTCTGGTCTCGAAACTCGGCCGAGCGTCATCGAGGGTGCTCTCAATGGCGAAATTGGCTCTGCCGTTTCTAATACCATATCCCCGGCCCACGAGGAAATTGGTTGTCCTACTGTGCTGAGCGACGAGGAGGCGGATGCAGTCTACGGAGAGGTCGGAAAGCAGACGGGCGAATACTCTGGCTTTGATTCGGAGCTGGAAATAGACACCGACATGGATGCCGACATGGAAGTCGACATGGAAGCCGAAATGGAAGCCGAAATGGATTCTGAAATGGCCTCGTCGGATGACGAGGACTACTCGGACCAGGAGTCGAGCGAGGACGATTCTGGATCAGGTACGTGCGCCCCCCACCCACCTCTGCAGATGTCTTACTTTTCCCTTCTAACTTGTTTAGAAATTCATGACTTGTATGCATGGGACTCCGACTCAGACAACGACAACTCCGAATCCGTCGAAGACATGATTGGCGTTGGCGTCTGGCCCTACTCCCCTCTATTCCAGACAACCTCCTCCAATTCCCTGGCTGTTGAGACACGTCGTCCAGCGGCCACTCCCTTCCAGGTCGAGCCACCTTACGTGGAGGTTAATATCCCATCTGCGATCACGCTGAGGGCGCCGTCCCCGTCGGATGCGGCTCTCATTCGCAGGCCCATGGTGGCGCCGGCACCAGCTCTAGCGCCGGTTACAGCACCGGCCCCTGTACCGGCGCCGGTGCACACGCATGAAGAGTTCCTTGCTGCTCGACAGGACAACAAGGAGAAACTCATCAACACAAACCGGCAAATCCCGGGCCCCATAATCAGCCAGTCGCTCGTCGGCCAACTGGAGCCCCTTCCCTTGCTGACACAACCAACCGGGCCTTTCAGTGCCCTTCTCAACGACGAGAGCGTTAACAGCGCTTTCACCTACGAGAAGAAAAAGCAGGACGTCTCTGCAACAGGGCTCAAAGAACAACCAAGGGTGTCTGCAAAACGCAAGGCCGCCGAGATATCGGAGGCGTCTGACAAGGAGCTTGGCGAGATGGGGTGCGGAGGTCCCAAAGACCATCAGGATAGCCACTCGGCTCAAGCCAACCCTGCGCCGCCACAAGCCCCGTCGCTCGACCAAGCCCTTGCCCTGCCCGTCCTTGAACAGAGCAACGTGAGCCTGGATGAACCGAGGCCCATCAAGAGGCTACGCAGATTCGCCAGCAGTGTGGGTATTGCCGCCATTGGTGGCATTACTGTTGGCGCCGTCGTTTTCGGCAGCCTGGCAGCTACGTGCCCCGCGTTCTGAAGCACGAAGAGCTGGTGTCATTTTTCATTCCGTTTTCACACGGCCTGAATGACCTTACCTTTGCATTTATCGTATCATGTTGTTCCGGCGAGCTCTGCCTTGTCACGTTAACCTGGCAGAGCTTTCATCAGACGGGACGAGTCGCCCTCGTGATCCAACGGGAGCTTCTCTCCGGAACAGGCGGGCGTTATTTCGATGGATAAGGACACAACAAGAAGTGCGGCGAGATTGCACTGCTTTTCACTTTCCTTCCCTCTGTACTATGCTGCTACGCGCTTTTTTCTCGCTGTGGGTTTGTTGTGCGTTGTCAAGTTCGCGTTGCGTTGGTGTTTTTGATGGATGGAATTGTGGAAATCCAGGGTGACGACAGGGTTTCGGACTTCACTTTGCCATGGAGGTGCGATGTTCGGTGGAGTATGGAGTACATGGAGAATGAATCATGACTTACCTTAGGCAGACAATACTTCTTTCAATGCGATCTATTATGTTTGTAAGGTGGCACGAAGGACCAAGGTGCTTGGGCTGCGAGATGAAATGGAGGCTTGATGTTTGTCTGTCACGTCACCTCTTGAGCTGCTAGTTAGAGAGTGAGCACCCGTAAAGACTCCCGATAGCCATGGCCAGAATACGAAGGTATCGTTGCCCAGTGACGCCATCGGATGATGGACAGCACAGAAATAGAAACGGTTCTGACAAGACGTCTGGAAAGCCTAGGTCCTTGCAGCCACATAGCGGTCATAACATTACCCGGTGCACGTCGCACAGCGTGTGCATATCCAGGGCTCTGATATCATGGAGAGGCTATCTGATGCCGCCCCCTGTATCTAGGTCTCAGATCGGATCGGCGACCACCGGGTGTTTGTTTGAAGGGGGGCATGGGGGGTTGAACGGGTGGGTAGGGGGCGTTTCGCCGACTACCCAGACATCTACGATCGGAGTGGCGGTGTCGAGGATACGAGCTAGCGTGGGGCGAGGGACAGAAGTACATGATTGCCGGATCGTATCCTCCGAGGGGAGGGTGGCTGTACCGCTTGTCCGGGCCGACTCCATGGCGGCAGGCACAGACAGGCCGGCCTCGAGAGGTCTGAGTATTTCAGGGTAGCTAAAGAGAAGGTGGAGGATAAAAAGAAACAGATGGGGCGGTATGATGAAGGCTTGAGAGAAGGCCCCGATGACTGAGACTAGGGGGAGAGGAGAGGAGCACGGCCACCGGGGAAATAGAAAGAAGAAAGAAAAGTACTAGGGGAGTGCCGTGGGCCCCTGTCCCCTGTGGTACCGCCTTCATTCCGATCTAGCCGCACCGGAAAGAGATCTGGGTGAGACGTGATATTGGTTTCAATATCGGAGACATGGGGTAAAGAAAGACAGGGCTTTGGTCGATCAGGACCGGCCCGCGAAGCTTGCGCCCGTCTGTATCCATGACGAAAGCCAAACGAAGGGAGAAGGGAGAGAGAGAGAGAGAGAAGGAACGAGCGGATGGCAAAGGGCTGAGCAGATCGGAGGATGAACAGGGAGGTCAGGGGTCGGAACGGCGGTGCGTTGCCCAGATGAAAAGGTTTAAACTGGGCAGCCGGGCTGGCTAGGATACCTAGGGGCTTATGGCTAGGCTGACGACCCAGGAGTTCAACACGGGAGGTAACGATGGAGCAATCAGGAAGAGGTAGCAAACTGGTGGTTACAGAAGCTGGATGCATAAGCCAGACACACAACAAGCTTCAGGCGTCCGGGTTCCAACCAGCATTTTCGGAACTGGATTTGCTTATTTGGCTACGGTGGGCAGGGGTCACAGGCAGGGGAGAGAACAAGCCCGGTGGCCCCGGTGGCCCAGCTGTTCAATATTTGGTTGCTTGGGCGAGTACGAGCGCGCCCGCCCGGCCTGGGGCGAGGCCGACTGAAGGAGTGCTCATGTCGCGCGCTCTGTGGCCGTAGAGACTGGTGAGGGACTCGGTTAGCGGAGGTTGGCGAGGATGGATGGGGAGGAGGGAGTCGAGGAGTCGAGGGCGATGTGGAGGTTGACAACGGCGAGAGAAGGAGGTGCGGAGTAAAGCACCTACGTTCTGATGCACATGGTCATTTGGGAAATCACAAGCTAGTATGCGTAGATATGCCATGTTTTGTTTTTCGTGTATATGTTTTCGGTTGCTTCACCCAGGGAGACACGTAGCTGGCATGCGAGGTCGACACCCCCTCCTTCCTTCATCCGACCCATTATTACTGACGGCCCGGACTGTTAGCTACCTAGGTACCTACCTACGCAGTTCTTGTCACCGAGCGGGGTTCTTGAAAATTGCAGGTGGTGGTGGTGGTGGTGGTGGTGGTGGTGGTGTGTGCGTGTGTCTGTCTGCCCTGGACACCCACGACGAACTAGTGAGGGATGGTGGTGGAAAGAGCTTAAGCGAAACGAGAGGTGCATGAACATGGGTGCGAGAGGCGCGCCCGTCCCGAGGCTGTGGTTGCGCTTCCATGGTGCCAAGCGCTGCGCCACCACCGCGCGGGAAATCATTGTTTCTTCTTCTTCTTCTTCCTTGCTGCGAAATCGAGCCCTGACAGTGTAACCCTCGTGTTCCGGAGAGGTCGAGATGCGGATCCCGAGATCCAGATGATCGGTCATATTTTGAGACCCGGGCTCGTCTATCGTGTATTTGATTTATGATATCTGATGTCGGGAAGGCGGGGGCGTGTGAGTGTGTGTGTGAGTGTGTGCGTGTCAGCCTGCGCTAGGGAGTGGAAACGCAAAGCTGTGTGGAGAGTTGGCGTACCGCTAGAGAGCACCTCATGGGACTGCTATTACTATGGGAGCTTGTGCTATTGACAGCGCATCGTTGGTGAATTAAACGGGTGGGGGTGGGTGGTGTCATTGACGTTGACAGACTGCACTGGCTGGCCAGAGAACCACCTCCTTGGCTGCCTAATCAACCGAGGACGGCAACGACACACGCTGGCTCGCACGCCAGTCTCTCCTTTCCTTTTGTCTTTAGGAAAAAGAGCCCTTCTTTCCTTTGGTCGGACAATGTGGGCTTGGCACGGCGGACCATGCGTGCAATGCTGGTCGACGCTCATGCACCGAGGCACGCAGCCTTCCGCCTCCAAGACACGCACCCGCCCAGGTCCTTTTGTCATGTGGACAAGCACGAGAACCAACGTCAACACTCGGGCAGCAACCGGACGGGGGCGTATTGGCGGGGCCAAGGGTGGTGTGGTGGTGTGAGTCGGTGAGCCCTTCCCCCCTGGCTTCTTCACTTGGTGCATAGGTCGGCACCTACCTACCTACCTACCCAGGTAGCATTCTCGTCCTCTCCCTCCCTGCATTGCCCTACTCGCTCCTCCTCGGTACATGGGCGTGGATCCCACCCGCCACGGCGTGAGAGGTCCCAACCGACGAATGGAACCGCGCGCCCGCCCCTCCGCGAGGACTAGCGCCACGGGTACTTGCAGAATCTTTTTGTGCCTGTCTTGACTCCCTTTGTCCTGAGAGAGGCCGAGCTCTGCTTCCCAGCCTTATTTTCTTCCCCCCACTCCCCTCCACCAGCCCATGTCGGCCTGCCCATAGCCGCCGTCGCTGCTGCTGCTGCTGCATCTCGCTTTTTCCCCCTCTTTCGGGGGCGTGCGCAACAAAAAGAGGAGGCCCACAGGGGTCCGCGGTAGCAGCGGTGGTGGAGGGCCGGCTCAAGACTTTTTGTCTCTGGCTGGCCGAGGAGCGGGAAGCTGCCCCGATTATCCTCTTGACCGGCCTGCGCCAAGCCTTCGGGTATATCCCATGGCACATGCACATCGAACGGAGGGGGGGGGGGGGGGGGGGGGGCGGGGGGGACCGGGTACGG